GAAGAGGAAAAGGGTTTGAGACCTCTGACACGTGGTTTGCTGTCACTCCTGCACTGATCTGTGAACATGAAGCTCTCGGCTGGTTTCTGGCTCCTGGCTGTGCTGCTCTTGGCTGCATCCAGCTTCTCTCAGGATCAGATTGTAAAGAAGTACTTTGAGGATGGCGACACGCTTCAGCTCAGCCCTCAGCCGGTTTCTGAAAAGATCACCAGCATCGTGTGGTATTGTGATGAATACCTGCTGGCTGAGTGGGTGAAAGACTTGATTGAGCTGAGAGATCACATCTCGTTTAAAGGCCGAACCACTCTGAACACTGACACAGGAGTGTTGGAGATCAGGGACATGACTGCAGTGGACACTGGAGTGTATTCAGTGGAGATCAACAACCAGGTCCAGAGTCAGGTTTATAAGACAGTGGCGGTCGAAGCAGTGCCTCAGCCTGAGGTGAGTGTGATGCCGCTGTTGTGTAACTCAACCTCAGAGAGCTGCACACTGAGCTGTGACGGAGACGTCAGCGCTGCTGGGCCTGTTGAGTATTTCTGGAAGATCGGAGATGGAGAGTGGAAGCAGTCAGGAACGAACATGGAGATCATCAATAATGAGGAAACACAGCGTGTTACGAATTTCATCTGCAGGATGAAGAATTGAGTAAGTGAGAGAGAAAGCAAACCTCTCCCTAACCCACTCTTCCAAATGCCTTCCTTTCCATCTTCATCATCACCGATGACGGTCAGTGACGATACAGAGAGTGAACCGCTAACAAAGGCCCAGATTACAAATGGAGTTTAGGCGCTGTGACCTCTGGGGTCGCGGGGGTCTTTGTGGTCGTCCACCTGTTGAGGCAGAAACGAGAGACGCTCCACGTCTGTAAATGCAGTAAAAGTGATGATGATGATGATGATGATGCAGTTTAAAGTCGAGTATCTGCTTTGATTTCCTGATGAAGATTAAAGCCTGTCTGCTCTCCTTAAACCAAAGTTGATGTTTGTTAGCTTGTAAAACGTTTCTGCTTTATTTCCACACTAATGAGCATCATGGTCGGCCATGTTTGTAGTTTTTCTTTAAATCATTTCTTGTCTTTTTTAGAGTTTTTGTATCTCCCTTGTCTGCACTTGTCATTGATATATTAGTTCCTCTTTCATCATTACTCATTATGGTGATTTGTGTTTTCTGCACCTTTGATGTTTTCACTTCCTGTTTTTGTCAGTTTTCCGTCCTTCGTGTTCGTAGCGCCGAGTTAGTTTCGCCCCCTCAGGTCTGTGGTTTTATATGTCTGACTTTCTTGTGTCAGACTGTTTTTTTCATCTCTGTCTTTATTTATATTTTCTGTGAAGTGCCTTCAGGGTTCAATATTTTCCATGATTTTTTATTTCTTTGAACTTTGCATTTAAAACTCACTTTTGAAAAATGATTCTTGCCTGAAGTGTCCTTTCTTCCTGCAACTCTTATACAGATCGTGTTTAGAAAGTAATTAGAAAGTAATTATTTATCTTTAATTATTTCATGTTTTTAAAATGATTGTTCATTGTTCGGTCCTGATGAGCCGTACCACTCTGACTTTCATAGATTTCTTTAATTTCCACTTTACTGGAATAAAATGCTTCGATTTGCAGAAAAACTCTGCTTTGTGTGAGCATTTCCAATTTAAAGTTTTATCGCTGACCATAAACATGTTAGAAGAGAGATTTCCTCATGTTAGTCAGCTTCATTCAAGACCCAAGATTCTTTATTTGTCACATGCGTAGTTATACGAGTACAACACAATGCTCCTCGACGGTGCAAAAAGAGAACATTATATACAGTAAGTGAACATATACAAGGAGGACATTATAGTAAGTGAGTGGATTCTATAGATTAAGTAACTAAAATAAAATAAAACAATCTGGAAATATAAGAAAATCTGAGACTGAACATTGTGTGAGTGGGTGTTAAAGCAGTATATGAATGACTACGAGGTTAGTCATTCATATACTGCTGCATGGGCTGGGCTGTAGTTACATCCTAAGGTTTTAAAAACTGAGCTTAAATAAATGATTAGCGGTAATAAAAGCCGAGGGAGGTCAACAGTGATCACTGACTGTTTTAGGAGCTTTTTTAGATCAAATAGAAGAAAATACAAACATGCATTAAAGCAGGAACTGCACACCTAGCCATCAAACATTTATTAAAGTATCTTGATGCACGCTCAATCATCCAGGAAAGTAAATCTCCAAAAGTTGATTCTGTTCATCTGGACGCAGCGTTTTGTGGGAGAAACGTTTGGTCACTCATCCAGGTGACTTCTTTAGTCTCAGCTGACTGCAGGTTTCAAACTTATAAACAGTACATTTGCATGATGACTGAAACCAGCCCACTGAGGGAACAATGGGCTGGGAGGCCAGTTCCTTAGTCTTAATTATGCAAATTCTCATGACCATTGATCAACAACCACTGACTGTTACAGAAACACTTCCCTTGTGCTTTTGGAAATCTGTTTTTTCCTATTTCCGTTGTGTTTTGTATGCTTTTGCTGCGTTTTTCTTAGTGCTGGTGTTTTCTCAAGTTGCAGTCTGTTTGGCCTCTCAGGGCCACCGTATAAAACAGTGTGATCATCGAACATTTTAGTGCAAAGAATAACAAACCCATTGGACTCACAATACCTCCCATGCTTATTTACTCTCCATCTCTTTCAGACAGTTACTTAGACAAACTAGCCTGTTCACATTTTCAGAGCAGCTCTGTTTTGATCCTATGTGACCTGTAAGTGAGAACAGTCTCTCACATGGGGCAGAAGTGGCAGGACTAATCAGATACTTACAGGCCAGGACAGACAGCTGTGGGTGGTCTCTGTTCGACTGGACCATCACTGCAGCGGGCAGTCTGTGTCGCTGATGGTGGATTCTGCTCTGTACAAACTCAGGGCCCCGTTACGCAGAGCTTCCTCATCTGAGTCTGAAGACAATGAAGAGAGGAGGACGATCTTTCTTTGCTGGCTCCTTTGTGGTGGCATTTTTACACTGTTCCTGCAGCAGGGTCTCAAGGCTGGTTCAAACTTCTTCTTGCTCTCCCCTTACAAGCAACTTTAAAACCTTAAAGTGTGGGTTAGTAGGGGAATTTTTTAATGTATGTATATGCTCGAACCGGCAACCTTCTGATTACAAGGCGAACGCCCAACTCTTGAGCCACGATCGCCCTTAATTAAGCGAAACAAAACAGTCAGATAAGTCAAACTTTGCTCAACTCATTCTTCTTGCTTCCTCCACTTCACTAATGTTGAATTTTTTCGCAGCTGCTCTATTCCCATGTTGTTGCAGTATATGAATGACTAACCTCGTATTGTGGAGGGATTATCTCAGTTGTTCTCCTGACTGAAGTTTGGTCTATTTACAGCATCCTGCCATGAGATTACATTTGTCCCTAACCATCTGTACGTTTGAATTTTTTCACAAATCTCTCAGTCAGAACATGCTATATCGTGTTGACTCAGAAACTAGCGAGCTAACTTCCTGCTAACCTCTTACTCCTTTAAATTTGATAAATTTTGTTTTCATGGATGCCTGGATGTTAAACTTAATTGTTACACCTGGTAAAGCAGCAACGCTGATCATTTTATTAAAGATGAAAGAATTAAGACAGTTTTTAACTCTCAGTGATGCTGCAGTGTTCGTTTGACTTTGGGACCTGAAGCCCCAGATTACTCCGCGAGGCTCCTGACTTCGGTAGCCGTAATGCTCCAACAACCCATCCAGCGGTGCGGCTTTGTAGCTTATCAAAGTCGTACTAAAACATTTTTTAACAGATTTTTGAGAGCCGTGTAGCACATAAAATCGGTTCAAGGTCAGTAAGCACAAACAGAATTCATGCATAAGGCGCGCTGTCAATTTTTGAGAAAATTAAAGGATTTTAAGTGCGCCTTATAGTGTGGAAAACATGGTACTTCCTGTTTTATTTTATCTCTAAAAACTGAGGTTATAAACTAACATATAAATAAAAATGGAAAAACAAATGTATATTTGAAACAGCACCCGGCTGACGTCTTTGCACAAGTGTTTTCATGATCAGACTGAAAGATCCCACAGTGAGTGCAGTGGGATTTGTGTTAATAAGGAAATCCTCTTCCTCCTTTACATGACAGGAAAAGGGTGTAGGACCTCTGAAACGTGGTTTGCAGTCACTTCTGCACTGATCTGTGAACATGAAGACATCGGCTGGTTTCTGGATCCTGGCTGTGCTGCTCTTAGCTGCAACCAGCTTCTCTCAACCAGATGGAGAGTGGGAGGAGATGTGGCGATCTTCAATTTGTATAAAATACAGCATGTTAAAAATGCTGCCTACTCACCCTGAGAGGAGAAATCATCTGAGAGCACTTCAGATACTGCAGGAGTCTGACTCTGTCTGTCTTTTCTTACTTACTGCAGAATGAAGAACTGAGAATGTGAGAAAGACACCTGGAGAATAATCCACAGTGTCCACTTTCAGTTTCAGTTGCTGTGACGAGATCCTCGGTGATGCTGCCAGTTTCCCTGGTGGTCTACTCTTTTTTTTTTTTTGCATCAGACACAAAAGCTTCAGAGGCTGTTGGATTGGTGTGCAGACAACACCTCGGACCTCAATACCAGCAAGACAAAAGAGCTGGTGGTCGACTTTAGAAGGAGGAAGTCTGAGCTGCAGCCCAGACTGAATTATAAAGCTAATAAACATGATCATGACTCGAGTACAGGAGGTGAAAATACTTTGATCCATGCATGTTCAATTATAAGATTAAAACACTGGAAAACCTGCAGCTAACCAAATAAATACCTATTTTTTTTAGCCATAATGATTAATGTTTAGTAGGAAATGTTTAATATCTCATGAAAAGCAGAGGCTACATTCATACTCTCATGTGTGTTATGCGCTGTGCTGGTTTCCTTTTCACAGCTATGACACTCACTGCACTCACTTAGTAAACCACAAAGAGTAGAGAAAAGTAAAAGAGTAACACCGTCGAATAGTTTGTGTCACTTCACTGATCTGTGAACATGGAGACGTCGGCTGGTTTCTGGCTCCTGGCTGTGCTGCTCTTAGCTGCAACCAGCTTCTCTCAGGATCAGACTGTGAAGTACTTCAAAGTTGGTGACACACTCCAGCTCAGCCCTCAGCCGGTCTCTGAACAGATCTACAGCGTCGTGTGGAAATACGGCAAGAACCTGCTGGCTGAGTGGGTGAAAGACCAGATTCCTCTGACATATTACAGCAGGTTTAAAGGACGAACCACTGTGAACACTGGCACAGGAGTGTTGGAGATCAGGGACATGACTGCGGCGGACACTAGACTGTATTCAGTGGAGATCAACAACCAAGTCCAGAGTCAGGTATATCAGATTGTGGAGATCGAAGCAGTGCCCCAGCCTGAGGTGAAAGTGACGCCGCTGTTGTGTAATTCAACCTCAGAGAGCTGTAAACTGGTGTGTGACGGAGTCATTAACAAAGCCGGGCCTGTTGAGTACTTCTGGAAGAAGGATGATGGAGAGTGGGAGCAGTCAGGAAAGAAGATGGAGATCCTCAATAATGAGGAAACAGCGTGTGAAAACTTTCTCCTGCAGGATGAAGAACCTGGTGAGTGAGAGCGACAGCGAGCCCATCGATAATCCGCTCTACCAGGAGAAAACCCAGGCTGTGGACTCTGTGTCACACTTTCAGGGGCTGTGATGAGATCCTTGGCGATCCTGGCTCCGTGTTGGGCGGCTGTGTGTTTGTGGACAAACGAAAGACTCTTCGTAAATGCACAAACACACACAGCTGAAGCTGAACCACCGCCTTAATTTCCTGGTGTAGATAAAAGTGAATATTTTACTTTTTAAAGCAAAATAGTTATCAGATAAAGTCTGTTTGCTGTGGTGGTTTTTACAAGCTTGGGTTTCTGTTGTAACAGCTTGGTTTGGCTTCATCGAGGAGTCAGCTGTTAAACACAAAGTGTCCTCTCCTGCAGCAGCAGTGTCCTCAGAGAGAACAGCTCCACTCTAGAGTTTTATTTGTGTGGCCCAGATCACACATACAGGTTCAAACAGCTTCACTGGCAAAACACAGTATTTAAAACAATGAAAAACAATTTAGAAACAATTTCAAACAAATAAAAACCAGAAATGTTTGCAAAATATAAAGATGCATACAGACACAGAAGAACAGAAAGGAAGCAAAGCTGGTGCTGCTCTCACTGCAGACTGCAGCTTAGTTACAGCTCTGCATCCTCCAAGTACGAGTCTGTTGTGTTTGTCAGAATTTATTTGAATTAAAACTGAAAAACAAAACCGAGAAGTACCAAATAACTGTGATACAAAGCAGAAAAAATACTATGATTGAGTCAAAATTTGAAAATGCTGCAATGATTCAGTGAAATGTACAAACGCAGAAGTGCAGCACACAAGGTGAACGAGTTTGTACAACTCTAACAAGCTTGAAACTGAATCTTTGTTGTGAGCAGCTCTGTCAGCATCCTCGGGATGACGTCTCCAGGCTTCTTCTTTGTTCTGGTCCCTGTCAGGATGATCCCACACTGCTTCAGTCAGGCTGAGGTCGGCTCTGTGGAGGCCCTTCCATGACTGTTGGTGTCCTGCGGTGTGTTATTATATATCCACGTGTGCTTTCACTGCACTGAAGTGTGTTTGCTGGAACAGGAAGCTGCTGGTATTGTATGACAGATCAAAATATGATGGAACTTTCTGTGTTAATAATTCATATCTCCAACAGCCATACTGACTATAATCTGAGCCAAACACGTCAGATGTGGGTTCATCTCTCCGTCAGACCTGTTCCTCTGATCTTCGGTCCAGTTGACAGCCGTCCTTCACTGGATCCTCTCATCACCAACGATGATGACACCGCCTACAGAGATGAGATCCAGCGGCTGTCAGATTGGTGTAACTACAATAACCTCACCCTAAACACCAAGAAAACCAAGGAAGTGGTCATGGACTTCTGCAGAACAAGAACTGATCCCCCTCCCCTCTCCATGAAAGGTGACTATGTGGAGAGGGTGTCCTCCTCTAAGTTCCTCGGCACCCACATATCTGAGGACCGATCTTGGTCCACAAACACATGAGCCCTGGTGAAGAAAGCCCAGCAGCGCCTCCATTTTCTGAGGGTCCTGAGATGGAACAGGCTGCAGACTGACCTCCTGTTCTTCTGCCGTGCCACTATGGAGAGCGTGCTGGTGCACGCCATCCCTGTGCGGTACGCTAGTTGCACAACAGCTGACAAGAAGAGCCTACAGAGGGTCATCAGAAGTGCAGAGAAGCTGTCCACTCCCCTCACTGGACTTATTTATTTATTTATTATATAACTGCCCTTGAATGCAGCCCCACAATGTTTCTGTTTCAGTGTTTCTTACACATACACCATGTGTATAGTTCACTCACATATACGTTTTCTCTTCTTTACTTTTGCACCTTTGTGGTCCAGCTACCCAAATTTTGCTCTAAGTCTCTCAGGTCCTGTGTCAGGTCTTTGCTGGATGCTTTCCTCTTTCTGAAAGACGTGACCTTCGCTGCTCATCTGCTGTAGAAAGTTTTTAGACCTCACACTTCTTCTTTTGTCCAGTTTCCTCAGATTTTTTAACAACGTGGTGCACACCTTTGTAAATGTGTGTTGGTGCAAAAGTGTTATTTTATCTCAAAGTGTGTTATCTTTGGCTCAAGACTTTTGCACAGCACTCCAAAGCACTAAAAGAAAACGGATTCCCCCAGAATCCCCAAACATGGTTTTGACCAACAGCCCTCATTCATGGTTCTGTGAGTGTTTCACTGATGAGCTGTGGGAGGTTAACAGGTTACTGTGAGAGTGAAAGAGCAGGAGGTTATGCAGAGCGGTTGGGCCAGTCTGTCTTTGCAGCCAGTGTTTCCTGATTGAAGGTAAAGATAGCACATTCTCTGGTTTCCTGTGCAGCATTTTTCCTGGCTGAGTGGATGGAAGACGCCATTGACCTTGTATATTTTAGCAGATTTAGGGGCCGTTCACACCTGAACACTGATCCACTGCTGAAGATCAGGAACATGACTACAGCTGTCACATTTGTGTATTCAGTGGAGATCAACAACACGGTGTAGAGTCCCAGGTAGTGAGAAAGAGAGCGAATCCATCAATAATGTTTTCCACAGAGAATAAACAGGCCTCTCTTCTAAATCCAGCCTTATGATATCTCTGGGGACCTGCGATGGCTTGGGGCAGCAAAACCCAGAGTTTGAAAAGGAAATGCAAGTTTTTGCTTCATTTTCAGTGTTAATCATGTGTCAGATATCAAATATCAGTCTTCAAACGCTGATCTTTTTCAGGCTTTTTATATTTTTTAATTACTTTTTTCTGCCATCTTATCTGTGAATCTCTTTGACCTGCGCTACCCTGAATAAAACTTAAGAATAAAGTTTGATCTCTCTGCAAGAGTGACCTGGTCAATATGCCAGCAGACATTAAGGATAAACAATCAGATTTGACTGATGAACTATGAAAGATCAGGACAGCATCATTGTAGTTTTGATTTTTTCATTAGTTTTACTTCATTTTGAATTATTATTTTTGTTTCAGTTAGTTGCTCATATCAGTTTAGTTTTTATTGTTCCAAAACATTTAGTTTGTGTGAGTAATGCTGAGTGTATTTGTCAGGACTGGATCCTCCTTGTGATTTCATCCCAATCCCAACAACAGACTGTTCTCTCTGTTGAGGTCAGGAAAGCGATTCCGCTCCCTGAAGACCAACACAGAGAGACTGAGGAGGAGCTTCTTCCCGCAGGCGATACGGTCTCTCAATCACACCACCACACAGTACTGACCCACACATATGGTTCTTACACACACACTGGACTTTCTGGACTTTGGTTTTGCACAACACTGGTCACTATATTCTTCATTTCCGGTTAATACTTGTACAGCTGCTGTTATTGTGTATATATTTATTTATATTTAGATTTCTTCATACATTCTTATATAGTTCTATATTGTGTATTTTGTTGTACAGTTATTTTATTTTCAACTTTAATTTATATATTTATCTTTATCTTATTCTTCCCAGTTAAATTTACCCTTCATTCTAATTTGTGTTGTACAGTTATTTCATTTTTAACCTTAATTTATATTTTATTCCTTCCTAGTTAAATTTACCCTTTTTAATTTTTCATATTTATTTCCTATCTTATTCATAGCCTTTTCCTTTTTTGTTCTCTTTAGGTCACGAGCAATTGTCCAAGCATTTCACTACATATCGTACTGTGTATGACTGTGTACGTGACAAATAAATTTGAATTTGATTTGATTTGATTTGATTTCTGGCTTGATAAATTTGACCACAATGACAAAAGCTCAGGTGATTTCTCGAATAGTATAATTTCAGTTTTTTTCTAGATTGTTAAAAGCACACAGAGCATAGTTCTGCCAGGCGCTTGCTCAAATGGTGATCATCTGATTACAGGGTTTCTCCATCTTTTTATTAATATAACGTCTTACCTTACAACATACTGTGTCTTGAGACAGTTGTTGTTGTGATTTAATGCTATATAAACAAAAATTGAACTAAATGTTTTCCAGTCTAGTCTTCAGATTAGTATTCGTTAACTGTAATAACTCTGAGTTTGTTTGAGTGTTTGTGTGCCTTTTTTTAATGGGGTCAACAAAGGTTTGAGGTGCAGTTACACAGATTGACCACAGGGTGTCACTGTAAACCTCTTCAGCGAATCAAAACACAGTTGTGGTGAATGACGTCATTGTTGGGGAATTTTCAAGATGGCGCTGGACTGTGGCCGGGATGCCACTGCTGCTGCGACTAGCTAACAGTTGGGGGATTTAATTAATCTTCTGCCCGGTGGCGACGCAAGAAAGCGGCCGTGAAGCGTTCCTTTGTCTGCATTAAACACCTGAGACGGAAATGTTGCGCCGGGTGTGTGTCAGGTAGCGTTAAACCGGCTCTGAAAATGCAGGTAGCCCCTTCCTCCAAGAACAACAAAACCTGCTGCTGCGGAGCTCGGCCCACCGGGCAGGGGGACTCGTTGCAGGAACTTACGCCCGCGGCAGAGGCTCGCTTGGCGGACTGAGAAGTCATGGAGACTGTGAGGGAGAACGGAGGGTCGTTCGGAGTCGACTTGAACGAGAACGAAGAGGGAGAAAGAGGTGGCGGAGCGGGGAAATCAGCACTCAGAGACCGCAGCATCGCGCTGCTAGCCGGGGTCAGCGCGGTGCAAGACGCTGGGAAGGCTTTCACCGGCCTCGGCAGGGATGTAAACACTGACGCCTCCTTGAAAGGGAAGATAATGCTGGAGAGGCTGTTCCCCGGCCAGGTTTCCGGGGTCTGCGGGGACCACAGTGGCCTGAACGGGTTCACTGAGGAGGAGCTGTCGGTGGTCGAGTTGGAAGTAGGAGGAGGGCTTGGCCTTGAGGGCACCACAGCTGCTTCCTGTCCAGCTGTGTTCTCAGTGGAGAAGATGCGGGGGGACAGCAAAGAAGAAGCCCGGGACTCAGACTGTGTTAGCCCGGGGGGAGAGGCCACAGGAGGCGGGTGTATCAGGACTGCTCTGCCCGGCCATGAGCTGGTATGCGCGGTGAGGGAGCACCGGCGGAACTGCGCCTGCACCGCGGGGGTAAACATGCCCAACGGGGCTGCTGACAGCTGTGAGGGGGAGGCAGGGTTATTTCCCACCCAGCAGCTTTGCGTTTGCGACTGTGAAGAAGTGAAAGTGGCCAACGGGGGTTTCCACACACATGACCAGGACCTGGACTCGGGCTGCTCACCTGAAAACACCCCTGACTGTCAGTTTAAATCGAAGTCTAGGCATGAGAAGAGGGTAGGGTCCCCTGGATTAAGTGCCAAATCCCCCTCTCCCTGCCCTTCATCCAGTGGCAGCCCGCTCTCTGAGCGCAACACCAGGGATGAAGAGGAGGTGGAGGACGATGAGGAGGGTTTCAGTGACCCCAGCTCACCTCCCGTCAGGCCGCAGAGTCTGAGGACTAACCCCAACGTGGCCGTGTCCCTCAGCTGTGACGCCACCCCGCTGTCCCCAGAGGATGAGGAGGATGGGGGCTTTTATTTTGAAGGGTACGACGAAGACCTGAGGGGCGTTTTGGAGGCGGGTCGCCGGCAGAGCGCTCCGGACACGCTCCCGGACCTGAACCAGGACAGCTCGGACCCCAAGCAGATGCCAAAGAGGTTCGGCATCGCAGATTTCTTCACCAGGTAAAATGATCACGTGGTCTGCGGGGCAATAAAGAGTGCACGTGCTAACTCCCAAGGACCCCCTCCCTCCTCGTATGGTCTTAAGGCTTTAGTCTTACTACTGTATTAAAATATAAGTAAACAACACGAAGACAACTGAAAAGGATAAAATACAAGGTTTTAATTCTCAGTCAATCCAGGCTCAATTATTTTAGTAAAGAAGCTCATAATTTAAAGATTAAAACAGAAAAAAATAAAGATTTAAAAGCTGATTGGACTTTAGTTAGCGTTATTAAAATACATTTTACATATAGGAAATACCTTCTTTTATTTACTTATCTGTCCTTAAGATTCATGGAAATAAACAACATAAGGCTGAAAAATATAAAACACACTTTTATTAATTTGTGCTTCCAAATGCAGATTTTAGGAAATAAAGCTCATGATGTACAGATTTAAATGCTCGGTGATGAAGATGCATCCTTGCATCCAGCAGCTGTCTCCGCCTACTCTTCTCGCTCCACCATTCCACATTAAAGGTCACTTATTGTATTAAACAGACGACCTCTCAGAGCTGCTGTCTGGGGCCTGTAACACTGTAAAATCCTGCACGTTAATCACATCTCAGTTCTGTATGTGTGACACAGCAGGCATCAGCGAGCATCGACTCAGAGCTGCCTCTTTCCCCGGGGCTTCACCGCTCCCTTTGCTCTTTTCCCGGAGCGGTTTCAGCCATTAGAGGCGATTGATCACGCCGTGTAACCACCGTGCAGCTGCCCAGATGCTGTGACTGTGTGCTGATCAGGCACGAATGAGATTACATGCTCTCAGTTCCTGAAAAGCTGATTTTTAGACGTGTCACATCGACTTTGAATAAACCCCACACGCACAGGTGGTTGAACTAAAAGGCTTTGAAACAGAGTCTGGGCTCTTTAGATGGAGCTTTTTAGCCTCTGTGCTAGAATTAAGGCAACAGAGCAGCAACACAGGAACACGTTTTTCCTTTTTAACCAAAGAAGCGAGTCACGCTGAAGCAAAAGAGAAGGTGAATAAATGAAGGAGAGGCTGAATTACTAAGCTTTAGCTCTTAATGTACAAAACCTCCAAACATATAAGAGCAAAGCTGGAGAGATTTGAGCTGTGGGTTACTGGATTATTTTCAGATTGTTGATGACTTTGTGATGATTTTGCTGCCGTCCTGACGCAGGGACAGCGCTGTCTCCCTCTCACTCTTTGCCACATAAACAGGGCAGTGACTCAGTGACCTTTGAGGTTTCACTCCTACAGTGTTGGTGCTAAAAAGCAACGCTAGTTCATAACCTGTGTGAATCTGTGTTATCTCCACCTGTTGGTCCATTATGAGCCTGCTATTGAGTGCATCCTGAATTTGATTGCTTTGTTTCGGTCTTTTATTTATTCAAACCAAGATGGCCGTTCTTTGGTCATTTTAATTTGGTTCTTGTTGTTCCAAGAAAGAGTCGAGTAGATCTTCAATGATTGCATGAGCCCCAGGCCGAGGGAAGTGGGCGCTCTCCATATTCCCAATGAAACAGGGGGAAACGCCCTCCTCCTGCTTTGTCTCGTTTTGAGATGACAGATTGATGGCGTCATTTCCCATACACGCCACACAGACCCTCTTAGCAAATATACAAGTAACCTCCTGTTGTTGGACTGGATAATGTTAGATGACGGGACTAAACACGACATTTCAAATGAGATATAAAATCAGATAATGCGGTTTTATGTTGCATGACGTAAAGTGTTGTCCGTCTTCTCTTAAAGGGAGACGGCACTGGTCCTGCGATAAGTAATAAGTCAAAGTTTGAAGGTATATGTTGATTAAATGTTAAACTTTTGAATAAAGCAACAAAGAGAGTTAATTTGCAGAAATGGCGTGCTGGGAAAGGAGTCGTTCTTTTCAGCTCTACCAGACTCCTGACAAAAAATGATCATTTTATTTCACAGGAAACAAGAGTTTGTTTGTTTTAAAAACCAAAGACGATTAGACAACAATCTCACACATTTGTGGAGGTAAAATTCCCGTTTTTGTGAATGGAGTCTGGTGGAATGTGATGGCTTCACATCCTCGTCAGAGTGAAGCACTGAAAACGCAGCATCCACCTTTAAATATGCAGCATACGAACACTGAAATCATTTTTTTTTTGCATTTTATTTCAGTCAGCTGTTTGTAAAGTCCCACTCTATGTTCTGTATTCTGTTCTGGTCCTTATCACCTACTCCTGCTATGTGCAGTCTTTTTTATTGTAGTGCATCTCTTCCTGTTTTGTAACAGCTGGAAGTACACACTCGTGCTTTGCATTAAAAGTCAGATTTCCGGTCAAATACTTGACAGAATTCCTCAGTTGTTGGAGTCGGTCTTCAGACAAGAAACGATTACATTTATCAGATTGTCTGCAGTTCAACAGGAAGCACACAGGGCCTTCTCAGAAATCAGAGGAGAGCAGGTTGGGTGAGGACCTGAAAGCAGCGGCCTCCTGCAGGCTGATAGCTGAAGGGCTGTTTGTTCAGAGCTGAGAACGTCTAAGTTTGTATCTTTGCCTGAAATGCGGTCCGTTTTTTGTCATTCGACTGATTAGATTTGGTCTGGAGTCAGTTTTCTTGTTTGTCCGCTGTAACCACAACACCGCAGGTGGTTAGGACATCCAGACCCTGCTAATTTGGTCCCGATGCTGAGCCCTGCTGATTTTAATCATGCTCGGTGCGGTCTGGTGCCGCGCTCATTGATTACTGCTCAGTCAGAGCCAGGAAGTGTGGATGCAGGTGTGCGCAGTATCTGTTTGAGAGTACAGAAAAGACGCTCTGTCGGTAACTGATGATTAATCCAGAGCACCCAAACAGAAAGCAAACTTGAAGTCTCAAGGTTGGAGATTGATCTGCTGGCGGATATGTGCTCATCCATAACCTCGTTAGTCAAACGATCCTCGGCAGCGGTGGAAACCCGCCGGGTGCTCCGGGACATGGCTCGGTTTATCTAACAGCCCAGTTTTAGTTTGTTTTGCTGAACTTTGTGAGTGCCGTCGTTCTCTTTGGCTTCATTTGTCTCTCCTGTTGGAACAGCTAACCTCACTTCAGTGTTGGTGCTTTAGGGTTATGATCTGAAATCATGACCATTGCTGCTCCACGTTGAGTTCATATTTGCTTGAAGTCGTCTGTAAATGGCAAAAACAATCATCGTGGCTTTTTGTTGTTGTTCATCGACCGGTGTGACTCATTGAAACCAGCCGTCCACTCTGCCCCTCACACCAGAGACCACAGTCCCACACAGAACACATCATCTCTGCTTCATATGACTTTAACACTAAGATGCACTAATTCAGTATTTATTGAAGTTCTGGTGCCGAAACTACTCTGATTGTTTGTGATTTTAGGAAAAAAAGCACCAGGACATTTTGCATGCATGAACAGATGGGATCATTTTCCATCACTATTCTGCATTTTTCCACGAGAGCAGGCTGAAACATCAGAATGATAACCGTGGAATTGAATCTCTGGGGGCACGAGGCTGCACTCAGTTCACATGATTTAATATGCTGCAGATATTTGCCTTCTACAGTTACTTATAATTGCTTTGAGCAGATAAGGCTGCAGGTGAAGTTCGGTTTCCTGTTTTTATTGTGCTGTAAAGGAGGATTGCTTTGTTTCATCCTGAACTGACTGCATGATTTCCTCCCTCGTGACTTGAACAGTGACTCCAGCAGCAGAATAAAGATGTTATATTACGTTGATAGTTACTGGAAGAGCTCCAACGTTCCTCTGAGCCACACAAGGAAGTGAAAAAGAGAGAAATGCAGCAGCAGAGAGTTTCCCTAAAGTTTGGTCGCATTCAGAAACTTGAGCGTTGGATTTTTCTCTGTTTGACTAATGAAGTAGTAAAACAGTCCCCGACTGGCAGGTGCAGGAAAATTTATGTTTGTTAAATCTGCATCTGGGTCTGGGCTGGTTTTTTGGGTTGGATGCGAGCCCTGCAGCTGGCTTGAATGTCACAGCGTCTCAGAGGAAATCCAGACAGACGGAGGAGGAAGGCCAAGGGGAAAACAGCCCGGCTGGAAAAACTCCACTCTGGCCGTGTGGCCCACAGAGCTCAGGCAGGTCAGCCAGGGTCACATACAGGCAGCAGTGCTACTTTAAAGTGGACCTGTGCTGTTCCTTATTTCCTGTCACCCACCTCCTCTTCCAGAGGTGGATGTTAAAGTTAAGCTTATGTACACGTGCGTCTGGGTCAGTTTTAGTTGGTGTTTTCCCACTCAAACCTTCTGTTTGTGAGGGGCAGCCAATCAGAAGAAAGATGGCTTAAATGAAAGATTCATTTAAACTATGAAAGAGCCCAAGATTAAACAACAAGTGGAACTGCAGCTCTGAACATGCACAGCTTTGTGCTCACGTCCTGCTTCTAATCAGCTGTTGGAATAACACTGAACCAGCCTTTAATTATTTAAGGTCTTTGTTAGATGTGCTCACCTCTGCAGTTAATTATTAATGCAGTGTGTAGTGCAGCCTCAGTGTTTCACACAGAGTTGCGCTCTATTTGGGATGGCAGCACGGTGTCTTTTAAAAACAAAGTCATAAAAAGACCCTCGTATACTTTTGCAGGAATAGATAATAGATGATAAACAGCTGCGCCTCCCGTCAGTGACTCCCAGCACATCCAGGCCATCTGCTTCAGGCTGCAGCTTGCAGCAGATCAACAGAACAGAGCAAAGCTTACGCTACAAAAACTGCTCGGTTAGGTTTCTCTCAGAATAATGTTTACCCCACAATTTACTGAATTCTCTTCTACAGCCTCTGACTTCTACATCAGTCAGGACAAGCTCGGGAGAGCGCCCTGTGGAACAGGAAGTCAAGAGTCTGGGATTATTTCTGTCAAAATAAACACAAATTGATACTTGAATGGCTCCCACTACTGAAGTTTGTGTGTGAAACACTGAGGTTAGGTCTTATCACACATAAACACCCACAGAGGCTGAACGTCACAGCAGCCACAGCTTTAAACGAGGCTTCTGATCTGAGGGACAGTTTGATGTAACCAGCACAAAGCTACGTGTCAGCTGTTCTTCTGAGGAAGGAGCAGTGACAGTCTAACCTGCTGCATTTCTTCTTCTGCATGATTAATGTGCGCACTCCTCGGCGGTTTGGAGAATCCTGGCAGGACGCTGTGAATGAACATTTCACTTTCTTTGTGTTTGTGATCTTTCTTCTGTAATTACACCAGAGTCACATTGTTGCTCAGATAAAGAGCCTCTGCTGTTAGTGAGAAAGCAACTTCTCCTTTTTCTATTTCTGGAGTTTCTCTCACTTGTTACAACTGCAGCCGCAAGAGAGGAAGAAGATCAACACACAGTTCAGTTTTTAACCAAAGTCTGTCAGCATCTACGAGTTTGTTTGGTTTTAAAACTGACATCAGTGTGATAGTGGAGTTTTTCCATCAGTTATAAAGTTGTGTTTATCTGTCATTTTGGCATTAAAATAATAAAAACAAGGATTTTATTTCACAGAACTGCTAAAACACTGTCGCTTACACCGAGAAGAAAATAGTCTAGTTTTAATTACACTTAAGTCTACAATTACCTTCTATTACCTTTTAAATGACTGAAAGTTTTGAATGAGCCACAGACGCTTCAGCAATAGCATTTATCTCAGCTGAGGGAGTAAGAGCCAAGTTTTCTGTAATCAAAGTGAATGAAAGTGTAGGGACACGGCGATTGTGGCTCCGCTTATTCTTTTCAGCTGCTGCAGTGGTGCACAGACAGCTGAGCTGCAGCAGATGCAGCGTGTGGGTCTTTGAAGCTGTGAACAAACTTGACCTGCAGAGCGCGAGGTGGGATAATATTTGCTCTGCCGTCTCTTCGGAGCCGGCTCCCATGCATATCTGTGTCTGTTTGTTCTCTTCCCGCCGGCTGACCAGCAGACTCTCCCAATGAAAACTGTCGATATGGCAGCTTTTCCTAAACAGTCTTTTTTCCTTTGGCATCATCTTAAAAAACTGCTGTAGCTGCAGCATTTACCGCATTACGTCTTTGCTGCGTGTCTTTCCTCGTTTGTTTGAGGAACTGAAATCAGCCTCTGCAGCTTTTCTGACCAGAGTTTACATTCTTCACAGATGGCTGGACTTCTAATGAAATGGGAACCTGCCAGTGTGTTGAAATGTCTGAGTGATAGGGAACGCTTACAGGAATCTCTTTAAGGGGAAGACGTTTTATCAGCACACTGAAGGAGGTCAGAGGGACACTGACCATGTAACCTGTGTGAGGATGAGCAGAGTTTTATACACTGACTTTAGTACATTTAATGACGCCATGCAGAATCTGACCTTCATGAATATCTGCACAGTTACAGGCCCTCAGATATGTAGGGGGTGCAGTTTGTTTATATTCATGACTTCATAATTACAGCACATTAAGTTTTCAGTGCTGAAAAATATTAATGCTCAGTTAAAAACTAAACTTCACAATCTAAAGCCAAAGTCTGGCTAACGTGGAGCGTCGCTATGATGGGATCTGTCAGATGCAGCGGAGCAGAAAGCAGCATCGATAGTCTGCATGTTTGATCTGGTTTCTGATTATTTCAAACGGTGCCAGCTTTCAAGACTCATATCAACATGCGGAGCAGGTGCTGCTCAGGACAAGTTAGAGCAAATGAAAGGTCTCCTTTTTATCTATGTTCGATACCAGGATTCCTTCTGACTGATTTATGGAGCCTATCGCATAAAGCAGTGCACACCCTGAACAGGTCATCAGATTAGTGTGGAGCTAAAACGAATAAATAAACAATTAATGAAAAAGGTAAATAGGTACAGAAGCAATGTCACAATTTACATTAATGATGTTTTACTTTTGTGTTTAATATTAGTGATGATTCATTTTATTAGTTTCTAAGGTAGATTAGTGAAATGTCTAAAATGATTACAATTACTAAATAAAACTGTAAAGGAAACTGTAGAGTCGATCAAAAGGCATCAAATGTAAAGTTAATTTTATTCATTCATTTATTTTCCCTCCTGATTAGAAGACACCATCTCTGTCGTCGAGGCAACACTCTGACCTCTTGTCACCCTTTGAATTTGCAAAATGAAGCAGAAATAAGCAAAGAAACAAACAAGAAAATACACAAAAATATGAGGTCAAAACTGTAAATTAGGGAAGTGAAATAAAACGAGTTTATACACAAGTTAATAATAATAAGAAAATCTGTAACATTTTATAAGTTTATTAAAATACATCAGCTAATGCATAAAAACTCTTATACTTAATAATGAAGAGAAGTTTTATTTGTAACATTTTGCTTGTCCTTCATATGATTTTGAGAGATGAAGTTTATTTCCTTCCTGTTGACTCTGATACATGTTTGCTAAGCTCAGTCTGTGCTCTCTTTCAGGAGCCTGTTTTCTAGGAAACCCAAAGAGCCCAAAGCGACATCTCACAGCTCAGCAGGGTGGCGACTGTTTGGCAAGACAGCAGCCAGAGAAGGCGATACGAGCAAAGACCTCGCCTCCACGCCGACCGCGGAGCAGGTTGGCTCTTTAAACACACACAATCATATCATCATCATCCTCCTCCTCCTCCGCCCAGGGTGTTTAATCTGCTCCCAGCCACAGTCGGTCCTTTATAAGGGCATGAAACTCTCCTGGGTGAATCATCTGAGCAGAAACATGAGCTGCTATGTTGGAAAATCAGATAAACAGTGGAAGGTAGAAGCCTTAGGACTCAGAAACTGCGGGCGAGGCGTTAAACGAGCTCCGCAGGCACAATAAAGGTTCTGTTTGCTTTCAGCGTTATTCGCTGTGTGTCCTCCATGTCCACTCGAGGTCTTAACAAAAACGCTGATTATTTTAAAGCACACCCAGCTGTGTCCACCTGCAAACTCAGTTGTCCTCTTTCCTTCTGTCGGCACCTTTTCTTCATCAGTTATTGAGATTTTACGTTTTTCTGAACCGTTTGCGTTGTGGGAACACGAGCACTTCATTTTCTCAGGGCAGGCTGCAGACTGTACGTGTTCATGTTCAAGTCAGAGTTTGAAGCCTCGTCAGTGAATTCTGAATGTCTTCATGTAAATGTTGCCTCCAGCACAGAGAGGGGAAATAAGCTTCACACTGTGAGGTAAGAACTAATCATCTGCAAATAACTGACATCCAATTTATAAACGTAAACAGACTGCAAAGTGCTGCAACTCACCTGCGAATTAGCTGAGGTAAAGTCTAGCAGGCAGCTAGCAGCTATACCCACCTGTTAGTCAAAGAGGCCACACCCCCTAATAATGCAATCTTTTAGCTGTAATGCAGTTTAAACAGGTGAGATATAACCGTACCCTCAGTACAGTTGTTATTAAGCAGAAGTCACCTATAGAGACCAGAACAGTTTCTTTGCAGGACTTCTGGAGCCAGCCCCTAGTGGATGTTAGAGGAACCGCACTCTGGAGCTGTCCTGGGGGGCTGCCTGCTTGCTGTTGGAAAATAGAGCCATGAACACTGCGCCTGCAGTCCCATCCCATGCACTTTCTGCTTTATTTATGCACTTGAGCAAAGTTAAACTTTTTTATTTTGTTTACATTGAAGAAGCTGTGAAGCAGCTCTCAGCAGTCACATTCAGAGATCTTTAACTGGAACACCTGCTGGGGTTTTTCCTCCCATGCAGCTACGCTAAAGTCCAGTCGATGCTGGATGGAGTTTTTGCTCCGGCTTGTTTACCACAGGTTGCAAAGCTTTTTCATGCACGTTCTACCAAACCAAAGTGGGAAAGCACTTTCTCTGTGGGATCTGGCTTTGTGCATGAAGCCATTGTGACACTTTGGGGTGGCTGTAGCTCAGGCGGTAGAGCAGGTTGGTGGTTTGATTCCTAGTCTGCATGACAAATATCCTTGGGCAAGATACTAACCCCAAATTGCTCTCCGATCCATCCATCGGAGTATGAATGTGTGTGTGAATGTTAGTGAGAAAGCAAAAAATGTGCTTGTGCGAATGGGTGTGACTGGGTGAATGAACAAGTTATGTAAAGCGCTTTGAGTGCTCAGAAGAGTAGAAAAGTGCTATTTAAGAACCAGTCCGTTTACCATTTACACTGAAACAGGAAACAGCCAAACCTGAAAGCCAGGACTGTTTCCACCGAGCTGGACAAACACACTATTGTCTGAAATATCGCTGCAGCAGGAAGATGTCCCAACAACATCTGTGCTATGGAGCACGCAGCAGACTGTGACAGTCGCTATGTGAATGTCTCCCTGCTTTCTGGTACAGAGACTGCAGAGCTGCACCGGGCTGGATTTACTGGAGTCTTATTTAAGGAGCCAAACCATGATTAAACCATCAGTTAACAGTTAGCATCATTTGGCAGCTTCAGAGCTGTCCTTCTGCACTATTGAAAGGAAACAGTTTAAGTGAAGTCAGCCTTCCTCCTCCTCCTCCAGCAGCATTGTGTCTGACGTGTCAGCTAGCCTGAGCCAGGCCACATCTGGCCAACTCTTTTCCCGATGAATCATCTGACTGCTGCTGCCGTCATGTGAGCAGAGCGAGGGTAGAGGCCAGCAGCTGTTGGCAAAATACCTTTAAGGCTCCAATCAAAGGTCAGAGGTCACACAGTCATGCTCCATGTTACTGTGGCAGCAAAGAAAATCCCGCCAAGTGTGACGTAGTTTTTTATCCGGCAAATTGATGTGATAATGTGTGTAATTAAACTCAACTAGAGGAGGAGGCTGGTGTGTGTCTGCGTGTGTGTGTGTGTGATCATCATCTGATCAGCAACACAGGGGCACCACAGGGGACTGTCCTCTCCCCCTTCCTCTTCACCCTCTACACCACAGACTTCAGCCACTGCACAGAGACCTGCCATCTTCAGAAGTTTTCTGATGACTCTGCGGTGGTTGGATGCATCAGCAGGGATGATGAGACAGAGTACCGGGCTGTGGTCGACTCCTTTGTCACGTGGTGTGAGCAGAATCATCTGCAGCTCAACGTGGCAAAGACCAAGGAACTGATCGTGGACTTCAGGAAGACCAGGAAACACTTGACCCCTGTTTCAATCCAGGGGGTCAGTGTTGACATTGTGGAGGACTATAAATACCTTGGAGTACACATTGACAATAAACTGGACTGGGCTAAAAACACCACAGCACTTTACAGGAAGGGCCAGAGTCGTCTCTATTTTTTGAGGCGACTGAGGTCCTTCAACATCTGCCAGAAAATGCTGAGGATTTTCTATGAGTCTGTGGTGGCCAGTGCGATCCTGTATGCTGTTGCATGCTGGGGGAGCAGGCTGAGGGTCGCAGATGCCAACAGACTTAATAAACTAATCCGTAAGGCCAGCAATGTTGTGGGGATGGAGCTGGACACCCTCAAGGTGGTGTCGGAGAGGCGGATGCTGTCCAAGATAAAGACAATGTTGGATAACACCTCCCACCCACTCCATGACATGTTGGTCAGTCACAGGAGCTCGTTCAGTGAGAGACTGAGATTACCGAAAAGCACCACTGAACGACACAGGAAATCATTCCTGCCTGTGGCCATCTCCCTGTACAACGCATCCACTTAACACACTGTTTGCTGCTACAACTACACATGTTTCTTTTCCAACTATTTATTTATGAGTGACTTATATACATACATACATACATACATATATGTATATATTGTACTATTCTTAGTTAGCGTATTGTCTGTCTTGTCTTAATGTTGGTTTATAATGGAGCACTGTAACAAAAAATAATTTCCCCCAGGGATCAATAAAGTATTCTGATTCTGATTCTGATCTGCCTCCGCAGCTTCAGGCTGTGTACGTGTGGATGTTGCCCAGCACACTACATCATTTTACAGACATCGTGTTGTACATAAACACAGGCAGGCTAACAGTGTTAGCATCAAGCTGGTAAACACGTGTGCAGATGCAGCTCCTCTCTGCTCTGCAGCATCTGGATTTTTACTGCTCGTAAAAACTCTCCTCAGACATAAATACCATGATTACGTGGAGCTTTTCTGTGCTCACACAGACACTCGACCTGCTGCAGACCCACTGATCTCCTGATCGTCAGTATCGCAGAATTAGGAAATCACCTTTGCGGAGGTTGAAGGATCTTATCTGTCTGAGTTCTTCATTTTTAGTTCTGTAGAGTCCAGCTAGCTGCTAACGTAAACGCTCTCATCCAAATACATCACTTCTGCTTGCTAACATGGATGCTTTTAAATGTGGAGGCACAAACCAGTGGGTGTGATGTCACTGTGGCTGCATGCATCTTTTATTTACAGTCTGTCTAACAAACCATAATATGCACGTTGCTGTAATGTAAAGGAAAGGTGAGCAGCATGTTTCACGTCAGTGTTTCCTCAGCTCCGTGTTTTTATATCTCGGCTCTTTGGAAATCACCAGGACGGTCACATGATGCGTATCTTTTTATGACTCTCACTTCATGTTGAATCTGATGACAGAGCAGGCTCAGAGGGCGACCTCTGTCTCCCTCTGCTGGCGGCATTCACGCCTGAAACCAGCTGATGAAAGACGTGTTGTTCTGTTGACCCCACAGCTGTCCTGCTCCTGTGGATAAACGGTTTATTGTACGGGCCACACACACACACACACACACACACACACACACACACACACACACAGAGTGATTCTCTGTGCTTAAGCTGATGAACGAACGCTCTGTTTATTCTGAAACTGCAAATAATCTGTTACAAACATTTTTACTAAATTCAGAAACGATGCTTTTACTTCCGTTTGTACTCGAGAGAATTGTGGAAAGAAAAGCACCTTCTTTACGTTTCTTCCACCTCTCATCCAAGAAGCTTTTTCAGTTCTAAGATCAATTAGTGGAGAGTGATCTCCACCATGTGCCTCCATCTCACCCTATCCCAGCATCCTCCTCTGCTACCAACCCTCTGCATGTCCTGCTTCACCACATCCATCTTCTCTGAGCTCTTCCTCCTTTCCTCCTGCTTGGCGGCTCCATCATCCTTTGTCCTGTAAATCCACTCTCCCTCTTCTGCACATGTGCAAACCCTCTCAGCTTCTCTACCTTTGTCTCCAAAGCTCGCCTGACCTGTCCCTCTGACACTTGAAATGATCAGACCTTTGCAAAAGCAGTTTTTGGGTCTCAGAGAAGAATGAAACTGAGCTGGAGGCAGATGTTTATCTGTGTATAAGGTGGAATGGCTTTTTATGATGTTCTCTGGGTGGCGCTTTTACAGCTCAGGAAAATAAAACTTTAAACACCCACAGCTCAGTGAGGACCGTGGGAACTGAAAAAGATGTGAGATGGCTCTGAATTTGTGTAACTGCCAAAAACACCCTGTTGAGTTGATGTTCAGGTGTAATTATTCCTCTGAGAGCGATGCTGTACTACATGATATCTGTTTCTTTCTTTAGTCTCCTCAGCAGGAGCCGATGAAGGACTCCAGCGTGCCCTTGTGTCCTCAGCGCCCCCTGCTTGCAGGGAGGAGGAAAAACCTGGAGTTTGAACCTCTTTCCACCACGGCTCTCATCTTGGAGGACCGCCCTTCGTAAGTTCTGTGGTGGCTTTAAAAATGCAGTTTTAAGAATGGTTCTAGATTACACGCTGTGATGTTGGAAAAGGCATAAACCTGCTGACGTGTGTACTTCTGAAGCGAGTGCATCTGCAAACAGGGGATTTTGTGTTATTCCCACGTTTAAGCTCAATGGTTCCAACTGTGAGCCGAGCGGTGTAGGGTATCCGTGCTGGTGCCGATCTTTTTACCAGTACACTCTGGAGTGTTTGAAAACCAGCCTGCATTGGTGCTGGTTTGTTTCTCACCTCAGCTGCAGCTTCTGACTCAATGTTTCCAACTTTGGGCTCAGCGGTGTTGGGAAGTCAAGTTGCTGCTGGTCTTTATTCTCTGGAACCAGCTGGAACTGGTTGTTGTTATTATTATTATTATTATTATTGGCAGAATGTTGCTGAATGCACTTGCAGATTAAAATGTTATATTTCAATGTTTCATAGCTGCAGAAACAGACACCTGAGTCAGTGAATGACATGTTTTATTTTTGTGAAAAGCAAATGAAAGGGCCGAATATTTCCATCACATACATGTGTGTGTATCAGTAACACATGCTTGGATATGGATTTGCATTGGAAGACCACACGTGGTCCTCCATGACTATTTTTCCTGCCTGTATGTGGAAGTCGGAGGTTCGACTGTGCAATGCAGTGAAAACACTGAAGCTTTTTATCAAAGGTTTAATATCAGTCTTTATTGTTCTTTGTCCCTCTGTGGTGAACAAAGATGAGCTAACAGTTTTACATTAGAGTCAAACTGGTGTAAAATGTCAGATTAATGAGTTTTTTCCTGAGTGAGGGGGATGCGAGGCGATCCTCGCAGCAGAAACACTTCAGGATGAGGTCACTGTCACAGAGAGACAGAGCCGCTGTGTGTGATCACCTGACAGGAAGTAAAACCAGAAAACCCCAACAAGCTTTCCAGCTGGCTGAGAGCTCGTCTGTCTGTCCTTCAGGAACCTGCCGGCTAAATCTACGGAGGAAACTCAGAGACACAAGCTGGAGTACGAGGAGATGGTGGCAGGAGCCAAGAGGAGAGGTACACACACACACACACACACACACACACTCACACACACACACACACACACACACACACACACACACACACACACACACACACACACTCACACTGATGTCACTGGCTGGTTCTGTTCTTGGATTTGATTGGCTCGTGCTGTTGCGTCTCCTTCAGAGCTGAAAGAAGCCCAGAGGAAGAAGCGTCAGATGAAGGAGAGACACCGGCAGGAGGACAGCATCTCCAACGCCATGGTCATCTGGAACACCGAGATCCTGCCTCACTGGGACTCCATGTACGTCTCCACCGCTGTGTGTGTGTGCGTGCGCGCGCGGGTGCTTGTGTTTATTTAATGCATTGTGTGTGTGCAGGAAGGGAACGAGGCGGGTCAGAGAGCTGTGGTGGCAGGGCCTTCCCCCCAGTGTCAGAGGAAGAGTTTGGAGCCTCGCTATCGGCAACGAGCTGAACATCACACCAGGTACAAACACGCGATCCTGGACACTCTTTTGATACTTCTGTAAAATATTAAGTACATTTTTAAATGCTGCAGTGACTGCAGCTGTTTATTTAAACCACCATGAGTCCCACAGGAACCCTAATCTGTGCTCTCTTATATGGAGAGATGGAGGCGTGCAGAGACAGTCAGTTTAGATTCTGGTTCACAAACATTTGCATAGTGGGAAGAACACAGCTGGGCGTTGCACACTTTTAATGAATCTAACGAGAATTTTGATTGCATGGTAAAAAATTGTTCTGCACACAAAACTGTGACTGAGGCTCAAAGAGATTCAAAACGATGGATTTGCATAAAAACTGAAACTCTAACCTTTAAAAGTTGCTGATTGAGTCTAATTTTCTGATTGATGGGTGTTTGTCTCGCTGCAGAGCTCTATGAGATCTTCCTCTCCAGAGCCAAAGAGAAGTGGAGGAGTTACAGCGAGACCAGCTCGGTGAACGACAGCGAGAGCGGTACGACGCCCCTCCTCTCTTTGACCCTCACAGCTCCAGTTTCAGCGACTGAAAACTACTTCTGTGTGTTTCTCCCGTTAGATGGAGGAGCATCTCTGGCTGACAGAGAGTCCAGCCTGGATCTCATCAAACTAGACATCTCCAGAACCTTCCCCTCGCTCTTCATCTTCCAGAAGGTAAACACAGATAACAGGCAGAGGACCATTCAGGTTTGCAGCACTGCAGCAGCAAATGCAGCAGTTTGATTTCTGCTACGATGAGAAAAGAATTTGGTCGGATTTTCAGACATTTGTTTTTGGACTTGTGACGTCTGTGTGGGTGTTTTTGTCCCGAGGTTCTTCAGTCTGCCTGCAACAAACAGCCAGCAGGTCAATCACATCTGTGTCTCACATGAATGTCTGCTGTGTCTTCCTCCTGCAGGGCGGTCCGTACCACGACCTCCTCCACAGCGTGCTGGGTGCCTACACGTGTTACAGGCCTGACATTGGCTATGTGAGTAAAAGCATTATGGCAGCTCTTACCAAATATTTAAAAATCATTCAGTGTCTCGTTAAGACTGATCCGAAACCAAAGCGTCTGTGGACTTTCAGGTGCAGGGCATGTCCTTCATCGCTGCTGTGCTCATCCTCAACCTGGAGGAGGCCGAGGCCTTCATCACCTTTGCCAACCTGCTCAATAAACCCTGTCAGATGGCCTTCTTCAGAGTCGACCATGAACTGGTACGCAGTCTTTGTGATATTTCATAAGAGGGAGGAGGGAAAACTCAGAAACCTCCTGAAGAACTCAGAGTTGGTTTGTGAGTAAAAGTGAAAGATTTTTACTTTTACACAAATCACTGTGAACATTTAAAACCTTTTCCTCTTTGTTCTCTCCGTTTCTGACAGATGTTGAAGTATTTTGCAGCCTTTGAGATTTTCTTCGAGGAGAATCTTCCTCGTCTCTTCAGCCACTTCCAGACCAACAGCCTGACCCCTGACCTCTATCTGATTGACTGGTGAGTTAATACAACTGAAGAAAAAAGCAGCCAAGCTGATTTTTTTCTGTTATAAATTTACAGCAAATCTTTTAGATGTTTAACACAGATTAGATTGTCAGTAAGATTTATCGACTTAAAAATGCCTTAAAGTTCATTTGTCTTAAAAAAAAAAGACTTTGGATGTAGCTCACCTGGTTGAGCAGGTGACCCACGTAACAAAGGTCACTGCAGGTCACCACAGAGTCATGGAGAAGCTGTTTGCGTTGATTTGGTTTTAGCGGTGCATATTTCCATGCCGATCTTTCATAACTCGCCTTGAGTTGGTGTTTCATCTTCATACGCCTGCAGATTTCACTCAGCATGTCTGTCTCCCTGCAGGATCTTCACTCTGTACAGTAAGTCACTCCCTCTGGACGTGGCGTGCCGGGTGTGGGACGTCTTTTGCCGGGATGGCGAGGAGAGCTTATTCCGGACGGGTCTGGGCATCCTGCATCTGTACGAGGAAGTCCTGCTGCAGATGGACTTCATCCACATCGCGCAGTTCCTCACGCGGCTGCCGGAGGACCTGCAGTCGCACACGCTCTTCAACGCCATGGCCAGCACACACATGATCAGCAGGAACCGCCGCTGGGCTCAGGTCAGGCTCACGGTCAGAGCGCAGGGCGAGGGCGGTGCAGCTCACTCGCAGAAAAAAAGCTAACAGGTGTGTTTCCTTCCAGGTGTTTTCTGCCTTGATGAAGGACGGAAATAAAGAGGCGGATAAAAACACGAGTCCAGCTTTGAGAAGCTAACCCCGACGCTAACTCCAGCTGTACTCAAACTAACGTCTGGCTTCGGGGATGTCGGAGCTCGCGCTAGCTCCCCCTGCCGCCGCTGACGCCAACCACAGAGGCTAGTTGTGTATCTTGAAGCTGCGTAGCCTGAAGCTAAACTCAGTCCTGGGCTCAGCTACGAAGCTTGAAGTGAAGACGAGGCAGCCGTGGAGGTGGGGGCGGAGCCGCTGACCAGTCTTGGGAAAGGAAGCGGCAGCTCCGGCGATTCCTGAAACCTCTGCTGGGACCAGAAGCGTTCGGTTACTCCTGATCTTCAGCTGCCAGTCAGTATTTCTCACAGATTGTGTTCCACAGCTGGGGAGTCACAGGTGGCTGGGAAGAAAACCTAAAAGCAGTCCGACTCGGCCATCGTTTGGCTCCTCCAGGTCGAGACGGCGCTAACACTGAGCGTCACGCCCTGCGTAATTCTCCAAGACTCTAAATCTAACTGTAGGTGCTAATGAGTTTCTCAAGGCTTCAGAAATGTCCTCTGTGGTTCACTTATTAATGTGAGTCCTTGTGGTTCGAGTTCACAAACACTCTTTTACTTTGCTGCTTTTGTTGTAATATTAGCTTCAAGAATGACGGCAGTCTGCACTACTTTAATCTGCTAGCAAAACAAACTCACAACACGGGAGATTTGGGTGGAAGTAAAACTAAAGTGTTGCAGTTTACTCGCTGCTTCTCTGTCACCAGTTTTGGTGGGAGCTGCCCAGTTTGGGAGATATCTGCTGCCTTCTCAGAACTAAAATCAAAAAGCATTTTTAATATAATTCTGTCGTTCTGGGAATCAAGACCACCTTCCTTAAAAAAGGATTCATGTACCCAAACTCACTGTGAGCATGTTTCAGGATCTGTGCAGAAGGAAGCGTCGATCTGTCGCGTGTCGGTCCGTTAGCTTAGCGCCCCGCTGAACAGCAGTCATTTTACCAGAACCAATCAGCAAACAACCTACAGGTGACATCACCTGCCCACACTCCCAAGTCAGTCTAATGTGTTTTATTAGAGCCTGTAGATGTTACCTAGCAACCACCACTAGAGTGCAGTGTGTGACAGGAAGCTGTAACCGAGCAGCACGGAGCAAAGAGGGACGGCATCCGTGCTAACCTTTAACATCAACGCTGAGCCTCGTCTGATCGGCTGTGCTCGACTTTTGTTACGTTCAAACTCGTCCACTGGTCCCACGCACAGGTTTTGTGGATTTTTGTGATTAAGTCGGTCATGATTTTTGGAAAAACACTTATAGACGATAGTCCTGACCAGACGCTCAGAGCTCCTGGGACTGAGAGCTGACGGCAAATTCAAAGCGTCACCTTCTGACGCCGCACTCTCTCCACCTCACGCTCCGTGTTCCCGTCACTTGTGCACAAGATCCTGAACTCCCTCGTTTGGTGGAAGAAGCAACAGCCTGCTGTTTTCTGGCTCATTCATTCGATTCGTGTTCAAGAGAAGGCAGCCTTTATCTGTGAAGTTAGAGCGCTCTCACCAGTCACTCGAAGGAAACCAGGGCTGAAATGGCCCTTTAAGGACGAGCAGATGGTGAAAGTGATTACAAAGGATGCAGTTAATGAAAGAGTATGTGTTTGTTTTTTTTTTAAACGTTAAGATAATGATTCCACTTAAGTGTTTAATACTTCTAAATATATTCTAAAGGTGGGAATATTAGTGCTGGTGTTTAAGCAAGAATTTAGAAGGACATTCGTGTTAGTATTTGACGTAATTGGCTTAAAATATCCACAAAAACCATTTTGGGTAGAGCGTAAATGTTTGTGCTGACAAATGGGGCCATCGGGGTTTTAAAGCCAGCGTTTCCCAGATCCAGATTTCCATTCAGAGCACTTTATCACGCAGCATTTAAGCCCCACAGTGAGGCCTCCAGCTCTACGGCCGCGGCTTTTAGCTTTTAGTAGTTCGGGCTTGAAAAATGACGCTTTTATAGGCTTTGCATTAGATTATTTCTTGCTTGTTTATTAAAACTTAGCTAAAAAATTTGACTGAAGTTAACAGAAGAAACTGCTGCATGTATGCAAGCAGCGTGTTTGAACCCGGAGGCCTAAAACCGAGACCAGAGGTGTTGCTGTTCACTCCCAGAAGATCCTTGAAAACATTATTTCCTTTTAAAGCAAACATCCTCCAAGTCGCCATCTTCTCAAATTTGCAGTGTTTCTTTGTCATCTCTTGTTTTGGATGAATTCGATCGTACGTTCTGATTTTCTGTGGATCAACCGTTTGGTCTACATAGATGCCAGAGGGGAAAAAAACTTGCTTCCAGCCGCTCGGGCTGAAAACTCTCTGCCGACTTTTAGACTGTTTGAAGCTGCTCGCACCAACACTCCAACGGGATAATGAAAGCAATTTTTATTTATTTTTTCTTATATTACTCGTTTTCTTTCAAAAACAAAAGTCTGCTCAAAAATCGAGTTACTGCTGCTTTAGCCTGCCTACAGGCAACTGCAAGCCACTTTGCAACCCACCGTCACCACCTTTGCTCCACCTCCTCCATGTCGTTCCGTCTGCCAGAGCAAACAAACATAACACAACAGCGTCGTCCTGAAATAACAGGAAAAGGAGTTTGTGGTATTTATAGTGAAAAATGATTGTTTTTGGATATTAATTACTTTTTACACAGAAGAGTAACACTAATCTGAGGATGCAGATGTTACCAACACACTGACTGAACAAAGCTTCGCACTCACAGCCGTCACTAAAAACACAACAGCGCTACAATAATGAGCAGATCAGCAGCGTCTCTACAAGTTTCTACACTCTTTGTTGCTCCTTGAGCTCATGGAAACACTTCTTTGATTTCCACTCACTACATCAGCCTGATGTGTTTGCACAGCCGATTAAAGGCAGCCAGAGGTCACCACCTCCTGTGAGACGGGCAATGATGGAAATATGTGCCAAAAAATAAAATCAAGATAAAATGTGTTTCAAAAATATACTGGACTATAGAGTGAACTCTGTTTTGTGCTGCCAGACTTTTATATAATTCATGGATGGTATCTAATGGATGTAATAATAAAGTTAAGCAATCTCAACAGGTGAATTTTAATCAGTTGCTGATCTATAAACTATTCTTTGTATCAGGCGGTAAACATTTGTTTCTGCTGTGACGTTCGATGTTTTAACCTGGGAGTCTACGGCTGCTGTTGGAGCCCCTAGTGGGTGTTAGACGAAGTGCAGCAAGAAAATGAAGCTTTGTTTTTGTAAAGAGCTCGCTCTATAGTCCTCTGCACCGATCAGCAGTGAATGATTTAGGGCTCAAAATAAATGCAACCGCCATCTCGCCATGACCATCAAACTACCGACAAGCACTACTGAGGAAGTCTCCACTCAGCCTGCAGCGAATGCACAGGCCGCCACTCTTTCCATTTAAAGCTGAAAACTCACCAGAGACGACGAAGATCCCTGGATGAGGAAATGGTTCATGTCCTTTACAGGCACCAGCTAATCAGTATTTCTGAGGTGGTAAAGATGGAGGTCGTTTCCAAACTTCAGGGTTGTTGCTTCTTCTTCTCTGGTGACTGTGTCAGCGTCACACCTGTGTAACACCTGAATTCTCCACAGACAGTTATGATCAGTGTTCATTAAAACATCTGCAAAAATTATGTTTAAAAAGTTAAAAATGCAATTAGTGTTTCCTTCAGGAAAACTACAGACCGTCCCTTTAAAATGTCTGTTACCTTCCACCGAGCCTTACAACCCAGGAAGTGTCACCGCCTTTCAAAATAAAACTCGACCAAAGTGTTAATGAAGCGCTTCATTAAACACGGCTGGAAACAGAGTCATGATTTATTATTTTTAAACACACGATCATCCAGCATTTAGTTTTTTTTCACAGTGAAGCAAAGCGAAGCACCCAAAAGGTAAAAACATTCATTTCTAGTTGTTACTATTATTGTTATTATTCGTCTGCTCACAAATATTTTGGACCATTTTAAATCGTCAGACTTTGCAGAAGACGCAACACCAGGTTAATGCGTGTTGAAATTTGAATCTGGAACTTTATTTATAGCAGGTCTGTCCAGAATTCATCATCCTTAGAATTTGATGAGTTTTCCAGCAGATTTACTGAAAATCTGTTTGTATTTCTAACAATTATTTTTCTCATTGTTCTCAGATTAGTTCTTGACAAACGCTCCAAAATACTTTTGATGTTTTTGTTTTATTTATTTTCTTTTTAACAAACAAAGAACACATTAAAAACTCCAGTTTTCTAATTTTTTTTTTTAAATAAAGGCACTTTTTGAAGACAAACTTGTTTTTTCTACACTTTAAACACACTCAGTAACAAAGCTGCACTCAAAGCCTGTTAATGAACTTTTCTTCTACTTTTACATTAATTCCTCTCGTTTGAGATTCAATGACAAGTATTTGTTTTTGTTTGTTTTTATCTTGTAAATTTACAACTTTAATGTTCAAACTACATCAGGATTCGCCCAGCCCCTCGATTCTTTTGGTTCTTTTAAAAATGAAACCACATTTTAAACATTTTTATTAATGTCTTTTGTCTGCTTTTGCAATTTTCTCCAAAATGTCCGATAATCACCCCCTTCTTGCTTTGCCATGTAAGTGTTTATTCATCATGTAACATCTCCGTATGATTATTCTGACAGCCGAGGTTGTCCCGAACACGATCTGAATCCAACCTCATTCACGTTTTTGGGCTCGATAGAAACTTCTGGTCATTTTTAACTCAACACAAAACAAATGTGTGAAAACAAATCAGAGGAAAGTTGTATTAATGGATTTAGTTTTGATTTAAATAAAGGAAGTTAAATATGCAAGTGAAAAGCAGTTAAATATTCAGAGCTGAATGAAACAAAAGTGCAATAGAGACGTTGTTTGTGCAGTTTCATTACCCATAATCCTCAGCAGGTTGATTACATCACTCCAGATTGCTAACAAACGTTCAGATGAGACTCGATAGTGTCCCCTCTGACTCTTCAGCGTATTCCTTCTTTTTAACTTGTTTTATACTTTCATGTATATCCATTCAGCTTGTTTCTGTTTTACTGTCAGATTTTAATATTTTAATGTACAGTTTTCTTTTGTTCCATAATGCCTTACAGGTGCTGTAAATACACTGTAAAAAATAAATCTTTTCATATAATGGCCACTAGTTAAATGTGTAAATAAATATCTCAGCAAACTCCCGCGTCTCTTTCCTCTTTACAGTTTTTTTGAAATAAATTCAAATGTTCGCCGACTTTGAGGACTTTACAGTCTTTTCTCATTGAGTAGTTGCAACTGAAGAACAAAAGTTGATGCAGAGTTAATTATAAAATATAAGAGCCTGTAGTGGTACGACTACACACCTTTGGAGCAGAAGTCATAAGTTCAATTCCCCCCTGGGGCATCAAATCCAGCTACACCTTCCCCTAAGGGACTGCTCCCATGCTTACAGATTGATGAGGTGCAACACACATGCTACAGCAAGGCAGAGCCAGGATGGGGGAGTTATCACCCCTAACAAGCCCCGTTTATTTGTTAGGTAACTGATATGACGCCTCGTCATCCTCTAGTGTTTAAAATGATGCAAGTTATTATTATAGAGTCTGTTAGTTATAACTTCAAATTTTACAGTTGAGCTTAACAAGGTGATACGTATGATAAATATGTGTGACGTTCTAGGGGTGCAACAAGAAATTGGCCCCACTCACGCACCAACCGTGAAAGGTGATCAACTAATTACCCAATCATGGAGCAGGAGTGAATTCCACCCACGGACTCAGCAGGCACTGGACTCCAGTAAGCCACACCCAGGTGTCTGTGCCTGAGAGAGAAAAGAGGGAAAACCCAGAGCAATCCTCTGGTGGGAGGAGTCACAAACAACCACAACACTGAATCATAACATATGCATGTCCGCAGATGATTTTTACTACTGCACTTTGTGATCTTTTTATCTAGAAAGGTGCTATATAAGTACAATTGTACTTACTTTTTACTTCTTCTGCATGATTTCTTTGTGTGCTGCTCAGACCACCAGATGGCGCCTGAGGACCAGTTTACTCTGACACGTCTGTAGTTCTCCGCAGCCTCCACGCATCTAAACCCACTCTGGATTTACATCTACACTTCCAGCTTTCTGCTCCACGCTCACTATAAAAATGAGGCCGTTTTTAACGTAACAAAAATCCCCAGAGAGGAAACTGTTCTGTGTCCACGTCATCATTCAAGTCAATAAGTCAACATTTACTCTGCATTTAAACAAAGACAAAAACAGAAGACGGAACCAAAAGAAACTGAACTAGGTCTTCCTCATAGCCGACACAAACATGACACGACTCCGACTGACTGACATCACCAGTAAATTCAAACCGACTCCCCAAACCTGATGAAACTCGTCACAGAACAGCAGAGCTTCAGTTAAACTTCCAGGAAGCAGGAACCATGTATTTGCACCTGTGCAGGTAAAAAGTGACAGCAGGGAAAACAGCAGGGCACCTGGAGAGGCAACAAGATGAGCCTAAAAAGAAATGGCTTGGCAGGCAGTGGTCAGACCATCATCTCCTGACCTCTCGCTGGTTTTGCTTCAGTTAGCATTAGACGAGCTTCTCCAGGACGGCACATCCACGCGTGCCGTCACCAGAAGGTTTGCCTTGTCTGCCAGCACAGTGTCACGAGTGTGGAGGAGAAGCCAGGAGACAGCCATTAAACAGCAGGAACTGCAGCAGGTCCAGTATCTGCTCCTTTACATGAGGAGGAGCCCTGCCAGCAAACGACCTCCAGCGTGCTCCTCATGGGCAACCGGTCAGACTTCATGAGGGTTTTTTCCTACTGTGAACGTCATGAATCAATAAATTGAGATGTTTGAACCTTGTGATCAAAATGTGAGTATAATGGAGACAAAGACGGCTCGGCTTTTCAAACCTGTCAGGTGAGGCCTAAGAAGAGAGATAAAGTAGATATGCTGACAACATCCGTCAGCTGAGTTTACGACTCCTACACAATCAACATCGTTTTATCTTTCCAGCCTGTCAATCATCCTAATGCATCACACAATAACTCGTTTCCATGAAGTCCAACGCCTGGAAACGGGAATTTGAAAAATTTAATAAACTTTTTGTTTTTAGCTGGAAAAAAAAGCCTCTGTTTGTAAAATCAGAGTTACAAATGTAATTTTGAGCGCGGAGGTCACGGGAGGTGAACTCGGGTCAAAGTGGGGAAGAGGAGCGGCGCGCGCTCTCAGGTATTTCCGAAGCCTGCGGCGAACGATGCTGCGAGGGGCCTCTTGCCGCATCGGAGCGAGGGGTTAGAATCAATGTGCGGAGACATTTGGCGGCAGTCTGCGGGTTTTCCTGTGGAGGTGGGGCCGGAGGGGAAGGAGGGCCTCTGGGATGCCACAGCAGGAGGCAGGGAGGCCGAGGTCACAGCCGAGGAGGAGAATGGAGGAGAGCTTAAAGAGCAAGAGGCAAAAACACAGATTCAAATGTTACATAAATGAGCTGCGACATCTTCTTCATTTTAAATAATGTTTGGAGGCTTGTGGAGTTTCTCCTTTTAACATAACGACAAAAACAACAACCCTGCTGTCTGCACTGAGCGTGACAGCCGGCTGGTTGTAACGGTTGTAAGAACAGCGGCTCTGCAGAGGTTAATGTGGAGGGAAACCAAACAGGCTGTGGTGACGGAGTGATGAGTGCAGGACAGATGAAAGGGTGCAGGAGGAGAGATGAGTGATTCAGTCATCCAGACGTCCCAGAGGAGAGGAAACGCCGTGTTGACCGACAGTCTGCACCTCCACCTCCTGCTTCTTCATTTTCATCTCCTACAACGGTTTCCCTCTGAAATTCATAAAACATGCTTCAAAAACTGCTCGTGGTTAATCGTCCAATTATTTTTGCTTCTAATTGTGTATAAAATGGCTTTAATTCCCAAACAGTTGATGCCAAACTTTAAATCGGGTCATGGAAAAGTCACAACAGCTAATCTACTGATTTGGTTTCTGGAAATTAGACAATTTTTTAAGATTTAGTTCAATTTCATTTATATAGTTCAATGTGTTTAATATTGTGACATAGTAATCCGACAGTAA